AGTCCCCGGGGAGGGGACGAGGACGGGGACCCGGCGAGCAGGCGGTCGCACCGGCCCTGTGGGACGCCCGAGCCGCGGGGCCTGGCGTCCCCCTGGGGAGCACTGTTGCCTCTTGTGGTCTAGGCACGTAGTTTGGCTTAGGTTTCTTCTAGGACTACTGACGGTAGGAAATGCTTGCCTGTTCTGTTTTTCTATTTGCATTCATCCTCAGTTGGGACAGTATAATCGGTTCTGTGGCTGGTTGGCAAAACAGATCCAGAAATTACCTGTGTTAAAAATAGTTGTTTTCTCTTTGGCTGTTTTGAACCATGGTTCATATCTGTAAACTCGTTATGGCCATGTAACGCTTATACTGGCCAAGTTACGGGAGATATCGCGGGGTCTAGAATAAGAAGGAGAAGGAAACCTGTTTAAGCCGACATTCTTTGAGGGCGATGTTCATCAAACTATCAAACCACAGCCTGATAAGTACAGTTTGTGCCTCGTGGGTAGTTAAGAGCTGGTCATCTATGCCCTAGTTCATACAACTTCCTAATAAATTCTTTTCCGTTTGATAGCAGTCGTCTTCATCACAGTAACAGGCTAAGATGCCTGCTGATTTAATGAAGTAGTAGAGCTGAGAGTATAATGCCCAAGTAATAGTCTTCTGGGTATTTACAAAAACAGAGGATACCAAAACCAGTCAATGCATGATGCAGACTTCTTTCTGTTTCAGAGGAGCAGGGCTGCAACATGCCCTGTTTTCTCACAGTTCCGTTTTAGCAGGTGGTCTTTGCTATTTACTCTTTGGATTTAGTGTCACATGTATCACTGTCTTTGTTGTACTGGATCCAGGAATCACTGGATTGTTCTGTGGTAATTTAAGTCACTTAAGAACTTTAAGTAGTAGCTTCTTTTTTGGGTTAGTTTTTGCTCTCTTGCTGGATTTGAATGGTGCATAGAAGGACTTAACGGAGCCAGCACAAGGTGAGCAGCAAGGTGGGGACTGCCCATTTGTACGTAGTAAATTGCTTATCAGCTCATGTCTTCTCCAAAAAGGAAAGACGAAGTTCTGTTCCAAAGAAACAGGTGCTTACAGTGTTCCAACACTTGCCACAACAGAGCCGTAGAGTCTGCTTTATAGGGTCATTGTTTTTAAATAGATTACTTTTTGATTTCAGGTAGATCTGATCAGATGATCTTGGCTTCCAAGACAGCAACACAGAGCAGTAGAATGAGAGATTTTGCTGTTTCTTCTCTCATGGCTACTGTTTACTAGCTTTGTTTTGCCTGAAACACATCGGAGTGTCTCGATAGTGGCAAGAGTATCTGTACTGGAATGTCTAATGAAAACTCCTTGCTGCAGTTGAAGCTCTCCACCTTGCTCCCTGATAGCACCATAATCATCCTGAGCATACTAACAATGTTTAGGAAAAGAAATTGACTGAATATGGGAAAATGGGGGGGAGGGAGGGGCTATAGAAGATTTAGTTAGTGTTGGTTAACTCTGGCTAACCAACTGCCTTTTTTAAACTTAGATGAACTGGTCATTCAAACTGACAGTTTTAATTGTCCTGAGGTGGTATAGGCATTCCAAGGAGCAAAGTGTAATAAAAGCTAATAAGCACTTAAGAGCAAAGGAATAACAGTGATACCAACAAATCTACAGGCCAGTGTATGCAACACAATGGTGTAGATCACAGTCAGTTTTATTTGAAACCAGCTCAGCAAACAAATTACAAATCCATCCATAATTTCTCCTAGAATTTTTGTTGATGCTTATGATTTGGGTATGTTTTCTGTCTAGCTGGGTTTTTTCTGTCCCCCCCCTACTGGAGTGATAATTAGAATTTCTCACTTGGATATTAAGAGCCTAAACCCTACTAGAGAAGCCAAACAAATAGTCAGTCTTCAAAGCTGTCTCCCAGCACAGGGTTTGAAAAGTGTCAGTGCTAGATTCAGTGCATTGTAATCACGCACTTCCTGTATTGCCTCTGCTGTTGACAGAGTGTACTGATGTCATAACTCATAGTTCAGAGTGTCTGGGTCTGTGGTGGAAAAAACTTGGAATGGATTTCCAAATCTTTCCATAATAAATGCAAAAGATTTGTAAGGAAAACTGCATAGACAAACCAGTAGTAGTACCAATTTAGTACACAGAAACTTGTTCTTCTCACTTACGCTTTTTGCGTGCTAGTAAATCTCAGCATTTTGTTAATAACTGTTCATGAAAGGACAGAAATATTGTGTCATGTACAAAGCACCGCCTAAGACTTGCAATCAGTTGCCTTCAGCTTTTTGGGGTAAATGTTGAAGGGCAGAAAAACTGGCTGTCAAAAAACAGTCAGATCAACAGCTTAAAATGTCTCTTTGATCATGCAAAATGCTCTCGCGCAGCACTTTATTATTTGCTTGTGTTACAGAAAGCAATAGACCTTGCTAGCAAGGCGGCACAAGAAGATAAAGCAGGAAACTATGAGGAAGCCTTCCACTTGTACCAACACGCTGTGCAGTATTTTCTCCATGTTGTTAAATGTAAGTGTAACATATTGAATGATTAAGCAGAGTGTAGTAGTCAAATTGGCCAGAGTAATCTCCTATGTTGACATCAGTATTTACATTTTTACTTTCATCATCAGCTCATACTTGCTAATTGTAGTTTGACTGAGATCGTATATTTTGCAGCTTTTGCCTTTACTGTGTTGTGTGCTTACTCCATTCTCGTAAGAAATCGGATTACTTTTTACTTGTGTTTTGTTTTAGATTTTTTATAAGACGGGGAGGCAGGGGTTTGCTCTCTCTCCTCTGGACTGCTGTAGCAGTGTTTCAGGCTGGCCACTGCGCATGAAGAAATGTGACAATAAGTACAGGGATCCCTGTATTTCTGTTGTGCTGAAAACCACGTGTTACACAAGAAGTCTTTGTTGTATCTACAGAGCATTTTTTGCTCCTTAACTCATGCCGCTTGCCTTTCTACAGCCTCTCTGCTGGCATTTTTTGCTCCTTAATGTCATAGTCTTGCTGTTCATCTTGGTCAACAAAATGTATGAGATGGATTTGTATGTTGTAATTTTTATTCAGTTTCCATATGGTCATAACTATTGTTTTATGCCTCCCTTTTCACACTTCTGTGTACCTTTTGCACCATGTCCAGTGTTTGTATGCAAGGAGTGGGCTTTCTTAATGTAGATACAGCCCTAATCTAAGTGGGCTAGGGTTGCTCGCCTGACATAAGTGCACTTACAGATCTCCATGATTTAAAAAAACCCACTATTTTCTTTATAGTCACTTAGGATAATTTGTGTTTCTCACTTCCTATCCATTTATATCTTGCAGACTTTCTCAGAATATCACTTTCTGTGGTTTTAACAATACTGATGTACTTTTGAAACTTAACGCATAAACCTAACATGTTAAATTTTGATTGCTGATTTGAAGTAGTGTAATAGTGACAGTGTGGCTGTTGAACCACACCTAACTCTTTCAGATGTTTTCTGTAACTTTTTTCTTTATGACGTGAACATCTGTTAAACTTAGGAGGCTATGGAAAAACAAAGTATGTTTCTAAATAAAAATTGCTCAGCACAAGCAGCTTCTTGATGAGCTATTTTAGAGAAGGAGTTATTAAGACAAAGTATAGCAGCTTGGAAGGCTGACAGAAAAGCTTCCAGTGCCATTGTCCTTAGTCTTTTACAATAAAATTTTAAGCCAAAGCCATGTTCAGGTGTATATTTGACTTCTGGTAGGTGATGACATCCTTCCTGTCATTGCTTTCCATGCTATAGTGGAAAAATAAGTAGTTGAGGTGTTTCGTAATGTGGTGAGCCCTGAGAGAGGTATGTTGATAAGATATAAAGAAGACAGAGATTTACTCTTGTTTTCTGATTGATGCACATGTGTTTTGCTGTTAACAAAGCATTGTTTCTCTTCAAACTCTTAGACGAAGCACAGGGTGATAAAGCAAAACAGAGCATTAGAACGAAATGTACAGAATACTTGGACAGAGCAGAAAAGCTGAAAGAATATCTGAAAAAGAGAGAAAAAACTGCACCAAAACCAGTTAAAGAGTCTGGTCCTACTGATGGAAAAGGGTATGTTTTTGGAGAAGGTAAAGCAAAATACTTCCTGAACTCAGCTTATTCTAAAATTCAACTCTTCAAAGATCATTTTAACTAGTGTTTTTGAAATGCCTCAGATGACTACTAATGCTGAAATACAGTGGGCTAATAAAAGAAAAATAACATGAAATAGCATCACAGGCATTTCTGTGCTTGTTTACTGAAATGTGTGAACAGTTGCATAGGAAATTCATTGAAGAATGAAAGCTGTTTCAGACTAACACATGCTTATTGGATTTAATGGCAATGAGCCTGACCCTTAAAATTTTTCTACATACAAATATTTACCAACTAGAAAATAAATTCAGACTGATGATTGCTGTGGCCTGAGTTTGAACTGTCTCACACTTGATAAGAGGTGCAAAGCTCTATGTAGGGTGAAGTTCTTGTAAGATGGACTGAATCACTCTAATGCCTTGCTGCTGCCTAGTCTCTCTGCTGCTTTCCTTTTATTAGACTTGTTTTTCATTTTGTGTATCAGAGAGCTGAACAAGCAGAGCCTCTTTTGCATTTGCTGCTGCCTCTATTGGGATAGGAGAGAGGAAGGGTTCAGGATGATACCTTCTGGTGGGATTGCCCTTTTTAGCAGTCCTGGACAGCTAGAGTTGCTCAGTTGTCTCTTGAAACTTCACCTGGTTTTCAGTCTCCTTCATTGTCTACTTGTCTCATCAGTTTTATTTTTTGAGCTGTACTGTGTTCTGCTGGTTTATAATAGAAGGAGTTGGTAATGTCACAGAGGCTACATGTGTTTTCATGACCTCCACTCCAGTTGTTCACTATCTAGTCTTTTTTTCCTTCTTTAACTTCCAGTTTCCTTTGCTCTGACAAGATGAGGGTGTAGAGTTTCATAGTACTAGATGGAATTGACCAAGTCCTGTTGCAATTCCAGATAGGGGATAAGTGCCAATGTCTACAAATAAACCATTTTAGTGCTTCGATGTTGCTCGATACAAGGGCTTTTGTTTCCTAGAGGCTGGCTCAAAGCAAGTAGAACTGTGTTTAAGAGGGCTCGGACCCATAAAAGGAAGTTGAAATGGTGAGGAGAGTGAATTAGAAAGAATGTGGTGTAGAAAAGCAGGAGTACAATGTTGTAAACTTGTAAAGATCTAAAAGCATCTCAAGGTTTCTTTCGCTCATCAGACTGGTGCTTTTTCTGCTTTTTGCATTCTGATTTTTATCCTAAGACAGCAGTCTCTCTGATTGTATTTCAACATTTTTTCTTGTTTCCAAATCAGGAATGACAGTGATGGGGAAGGGGAGTCAGAGGATCCTGAAAAAAAGAAGCTACAGAATCAACTTCAGGGTAATTTTGAAGCATCCTTTTCTTTAGATAGGGGTGGTTTCAGTCAAGCAAATTCCTAAATTTTTGCCATCTAAATGTTGTGGATAAACTTACTGTCTTTAAGTCGCTCAACTAGTATGTACTCTTCACATACAAAAGCATAGTCTTTATGGAAGTACGGGTTTGTGTGCCATGAAGTTATACAGTGACTATGTTGAAATTTATCTGCTCTACCCTGTGCTTCACGTTAGAATTGTACTATTTATCAGGACAGCATTTTCCAAAGGGAAAAGTTGCAACAGCCCAGGTAGCTATTGGCTAAACTGAATCAGTATTTTTTACTCCTAAGTGCATTAGAGTATTGCCTAGAGGCTAAGGTAAAAGACATCATACAAACACTTAAATGCAAGCAGGACCATTTTCAGAAAAAGCCATGTGCTCAAGTTTAGGAGTTGAGAACATGGATTCTTGCTTGTTTATTGTAATGGGCAGCATTTTCTCATATGCAGTGATGATGGTCTCCCAGCTGAGTAACATAATAGCTTGGGGTTTTGAACTCAAGTGCTGAATATAGTCAGTGATACAACATATAGCAGCTACCAGTAGTTTTGTGTGCAGTAAAAACGAGGCTTTGTTTGATATTTCTTACCTTTTAATGGTGAAGAATTGTTCAGAGCTTCCATGACAGAAGGTGCTTATGGATCTGAAGAAACTTCATTGTTCTTCCCGTATTTTTCAGTGTAACAAAGATCAAATGCATTTACCAGATTTCTGACTGTGTAATTTCAGGAGCTATTGTATCATATTTGGAAACTGTGACATGCTTTTTCTACTTCTCTACACTTTTGTTTAATCCTCTGCACAGTTCTATGGAACAGTTTCCTGTATTTTAAAATGACAGAAAAATGATGAGCATTGGACTCTTATCCTGTCTCTCACTATAAACACTTCATTTCTTCCCACATGAATCTGACCTGTAGAAGAAAAAAAGCCTTAAATTACTTCAGAGCTCTGAAGGCAAAGGGTGAAAGTGTCAAGAAAATAGCTGGTGAAAGCCAATTGTGAAATTATAGAAAGCCCCTTGTAGAGAAATAGAGCAACTGAAACTTTCAGTGTGTTTGAGTACTTAGATAAGCATTGGGTTGGTTGGCATTTGTTCATGTGAGAAAATTTCTATGGTTTATTGTGGTAAAACAATGTGACAGATTTCTGTAGAAATAACATCCATTTGACTTAAAAGTATTCAGTGTTTATATCTACTTAGAAATGCTTTGGTTTTATTCAGTATGGACGTGGGCATAGATTCCTTAATTTTTTTTTTTTCCAAAATAGAATTTATTGAAGTTGTGAAAAGATATGTGCATCACTGATTTATACAATGTTTTCTTGTAGGAGCAATTGTTATGGAGCGACCAAACGTCAAATGGAGTGATGTTGCTGGCCTCGAAGGTGCTAAAGAAGCACTTAAAGAAGCAGTGATCTTGCCCATTAAATTTCCGCACCTGTTTACAGGTCAGAATTACAGCAGTTATTTGCTATTGGCCAGTCAGGACCGGCACTGGGGTCTGAGAAGAGTGTTATGCCGATGTATCGGAGACTTAAGCTGCGGTCTTAACCAAGAGATTGTGATCCATCTGGTGGAAGTTTCATGGGTAGATGTGGAAAACCTTTGAGTAAATTAAAGGGGCTTCACCAGAAAAATAGGTTCAGTCTTTATACAGTATTTTGAAGACTGCTGGTTTCTCTCTTGCAGGAAAGAGAACACCCTGGAGAGGGATTCTCCTCTTTGGACCACCAGGAACAGGAAAGTCTTATTTAGCAAAAGCTGTGGCAACAGAAGCAAACAACTCTACCTTCTTCTCAGTATCTTCCTCTGACCTTGTCTCAAAGTGGTTAGGTGAAAGTGAAAAGTAAGTTGGAGTTGCCAGAGGTCCAGGAAAACATTGGCAAGAAGAAATTAATACAGAGCTAGATAAGTTGCTTTAAAGAAATTGAATTTGTGGGAAGGGTCATATCTTTTTTAAAAACAAACTTCAGGTGTTTCTATGCTTCATGCTGCAGTGCCATGTAAAGATATCGTCACGTGCCGCATTTTGTGCTGCTGCAGCTGGACCTCTCTTCAGTGCTCAAGATAGTTTTTTTAAACTAGCTCAGAAAGGTTTTGGGAGCACCATGGAGCTCATTCCCCTTCTGAGTTCAGCTGTGATTGCACACTACATCAGTCTGAAGTGTTGACATACTCTGCCTCTTGGCATCTCCCCACTCATCTGTCCCAGCAGCTGTGTTGTTAACATGTGGCATTTCTTTGTCCGTGCAGAGGTGTTTTTTCTTTGTCCTGATTTCAAACAAAATCTGGAAGATATAAGAGATTTGCAAAAATAAGCTGAAGGAGAGGAGCAGCCATGAAAGAAAATTTCATGGTTCCCCATGCTAGCTCTTTGTTTGTTGCTATATGAAGACCAAGAAGCCTGAAGTGACGTGTTGGCTGCAGTTTAGAAGTGCAGGAATTTGTCCACCTAGGCTTCCAATGAAGATTTCCTGAACTAAGAAAAAGCTCTGGGTTTGTTGTACAGAAAGGACTTTCATATGATGATAAGAATACTTGTCAAAACCATGCTTTAATAGTTTGAAGTGTGGGACAACTGAGCAACACTAAAGTTGGTAGGATGAGGAAGAAAGGCCATTAGATAAAAGTGCTTGAACTGGATTTGTTCCCCAAAAGCTGGTAATGTTAAGCTACTTTTCTTCTGTTGCAAAAGGAATACAGAACTGGAGTCCAGCTTGGCATTTTTTTTCTGTTTGACTTCATTTGAGACTATGGCCTGAGATTTAGTGCTGGTAATGTGAAGAATTTCCCAGCATGTTCCCATTTATTTTCCTTTTTAAGTTAGTAAAATGTGTTAATAAGATATGGCTAGGGTTTGTTGTTTTTTTTTTTTTTTGGCAAACCAACTTGTCATATAAAAAGTATTTAGTAAAGTTTTATATAAAGTAAATGTACGTGTTATTTCTTACAAGATCTCTAGAGTTAATCTGATTAGGTTACAAATGTTAAATAAGAGAACGCTGTGTTCTTTTGAATCTGTCTAGAGTGGTGGTTTTGTATAGCCCAGGCTATCTTGTAGAAGTGTAAACCGAAAAAAGGGCTTTCTCTTGCAACACCATGCCTGGAGTACTCTAAAATGTTTCACCTCCCATTATGCTGGGCTGTCTCATTCAGTATAATGCGGAGTCTTGGAGCTGGAAGAACGTTGTATCTTTGAGTAGCTTTATGTTCATACTTTTCTTTTTTTAGCTTTCTCTAAAGGAAGTGACTGTATCATAATCTTAAGTTATGTGTTTTTACTGGTGTAATCATTAAGATAACTGAAGCTGTTTCCTTTTTTAAGATTAGTGAAAAACTTGTTCCAGCTTGCCAGAGAAAACAAACCTTCTATTATCTTCATTGATGAGATAGATTCTCTCTGTGGGTCAAGAAGTGAAAATGAAAGTGAGGCTGCTAGACGAATAAAAACAGAATTTCTAGTCCAGATGCAAGGTAAGTTTACCTTGTTTTCAGAATCAGTCAAAGGAATTAAGATATGTATTTTAAGTGTAGCTGCATGAGAACACTAAAAAGATCTGCGGTTCCACTCTGTTAAATTTTGATGACATTTTAAAACAGTCTTTGTTTATCATCTAAATGGTGAAATGATTTCTGCCCTGATATAGGGGTTGGTGTTGACAACGAAGGAATCTTGGTCTTAGGAGCGACAAACATACCCTGGGTTTTGGATTCTGCTATCAGGAGACGGTATGATGGCATTTTTTTCATAAGAAATTCACAACTGTTGTGAGGGTTCAGTCTGAGACTACTAGAGGTAGTAATCCAGCTCGTGTTTGCAGACATGGCTAATGTTCTACAACTCAATTTCATGACATGGACTGAGACAAACTAATAGCCCCTTGCCCCTTTAAAGAGGTGGGTTGTTCACTCTTACATTGGGCCTGTAGTTTATTTGATCTCTTGGTTAGCTGATTGTGCTTGAGCAAGCAGAAAACTATTCTGTTTCCTTGTTGGTTGGTTGTCTGGTGGGCTTGGGGGACAAGTTACAAAATATGCACCTCAGAAGGGCAAGGGGGGTAGAGCTTTCCTTTTCAGCTGTTAACAAACTGTTGAATAGCTTGAGTTATTTCGTGGAAATGTAGCCTTGTGTTACACAGAAACCCCGTGGTTTTCTACTGGTCAGGCATAATTTGTGATCTTTCAGTGCATGTTTTAACTGCTTTTTTTGTAGATAAAGGGTTTCTATACCTGTATCTGATTAGCTGGATCTTTCTTTGAGCTGCAGAGCAGCAGAGGGCAAATACAGCTATGAGACAAGTATGATTATGTTGTGATGAGGACACAGCTTGGACAATGGTCGTTTTTGTAGGCTAAAGAAACATTACTTTTTTGTGACTGTCACTGACTTTTATTTATATACTTAATTCAAGCTGGCCATACTTTGATTGCGGGTTGGACCAGGTGACCTCCAGAGGTCACTTCCAACCTGTATGACTGTAGTTTTGGGTAAGACAAATTTAGAGGTGAACGTGTTGCTTAAAATTTCAAGTCATTCTTGAAATTCCAGCTCTGGGGTCCACAGTACAAGACAGACATGAACCTGATAGAGTGGGTCCAGAAGGGGGCCATGAAAATGATCAGAGGGCTGGAACACCTCTCCTGTGAAGAAACTCTGAGAGAGTTGGGGTTGTTCAGCCTGGAGAAGAAAAGGCTCCAGGGAGACCTTATTGTGGCCTTTCAATATATAAAGGGGGCTTATAAGAAAGATGGAGAGATGTTGTGTTTTGTTGGTGTTTTTTTTTACCAAGGCCTATAATGACAGGACAAAGGGCAGTGGTTTTAAACTGAAAAAGGGTAGGCTTAGATTGGACATAAGGAAGAGATTTTTTACAATGAGGGTGCTGAGACACGGGAACAGGTTGCCCAGAGAAGTTGTGGATGTCTCATCATTGGAAGTGTTCAAGGCCAGGCTGGACGGGACTTTGAGCAACCTGATCTAGTGGAAGGTGTCCCGCGCATGGCAGGGACACTAAGTGGCCTCTAAAAGTCCCTCCCAACCCAAACCATTCTCTGATTCTCTGCAGTGTGAAACAGTAGCTCTCTAACTCTTGTCCATAAGACTTGAAGGAACTTGTACAACAGTGGCAGTAATCAAATTAATTTTTCATGGATTTGGCCCAGTTTGTAATTTATATCAAGTTAATTGTGTTTACAGAATTCAGAGTCGCTTTCATTTTGTTGGTGGGAAGTAATCCCCACTGTGAGAACAGATGCTGCTTCAAAGAACTGCAGTTATCGACGTTTTATACTGACAACTGTATTGGGAATATGACTTCAAATTTGCTTCCAACTATGAAGTTTTTTTTAATTTAGTTGGAGACTGTAGAAAGTGGTTGTGTCAGCTTGTTATCAAGCAGTTCTTTGAGTGTGAAAACTGTTCAAATATACTTCAACGCTTACAGACTTTTCCTCTCAATTTTTTCTTTTAAAAAACAAACTCTGCTGGAGAGAATCTGGAAAAACTTCAATCTGAAGAGATCTTTGTCATGAAAAGGAAGTAGTTTTTATATTCTGGATGCTAGCTTATGCTAGCTACAGTATTATTCATGAGAACAGGTTGTTGAATATTTGCCTCAGATTTTTTTTTTTAAAGGTTTATAATACTGAAACTGCTTCTTTCTAATATTGTTAGGAACAAGGCATATACTTATTTGCATAAGCTTCTTTCCACTGTGCACCTGCATGAGCTAGCATCTGTGGAACATTTTGGTTTTTCCTTTTTTAAACCAGGTTTGAGAAGCGTATTTATATTCCTTTACCTGAAGACCATGCCAGGGCTGCAATGTTCAAACTTCACCTTGGGTCAACTCCAAATCTCCTAACGGAATCAGATTATCGAGAGCTTGGAAAGAGAACTGATGGCTATTCTGGTGCAGATATAAGCATCATTGTACGTGATGCACTGATGCAGCCTGTTAGAAAAGTGCAATCAGCTACTCACTTTAAAAAAGTAAGTAGGAATAAAAAAAATTTTGAGTTATTTCATCTCTGAGCACTATCTTAATTTGAATTCCTTGCCAGTAAACTGAATTTGGTTTTGGGTAATACTGTACACTTATGAATGTCCTTTTTATCGACCAGGGAAGAACTTGGGTATTCCTCCTCTTTCTATTTTTTTTTTTTTTTTCTTCTTTCCTTCCCCCATCCTCCCTCAAGTCCTCCCATAAGTCTAGTGGAGCTACTTTCTGGGTATTCATGCTGTGTAATCCAAGCTCTGATGACTCTTCATGTCTCTAGGCAGTGTTAAAAGCATTCAGTTTGAAGTTCGACTTAAATGGGAATTAGAGATGCTCTTTTTCTGGATCAAGTTATGTGGTTCTTCATGTATTTCTAGCATGTTGAAATAAATGTATCACTCATCCACATGGGAACAGATGGATTATAATTATGCACATTCTGCTTACTTGGCATATTTTTCGAACTGGGAAAAATAAGGTTCCTGTAAAGTTCTGGTAAAACCATTGAATCAATGAATCAACTGAGCAAGGTCTGTGTTTCATTGTCTGGGCAACACGCAGCATCCTATGGATGCTGCTGTATTGTGAAAACTAGTTTACACTTACTTAGGCGCACTCTAAAGAGACTATTGAAACTATATTGTTTGGCTTATCTTGGAGTTCCCTCTATGTGCCATGTACTGACTTGAGAAACATTTCTAAATGCTTGGATCTCAGAAAATTTATCTGACAAAGAACCAACTAGAGTTCTTTAGCACCAATCTAAATCCATTAAATCTGGGAATGCTTTTTTACCCCCTGGAGAATTTGCACATATGGGTCCTGTTCAATCAAATTAATTGTTGTCTATAAACTATCAGGCTCCTTATTGAAAAGAAGTGTGATAATGTTATCAATAGTTATAAACAGAGTTCCAAATACATACAATGTTTATCAGTTAAATAAAACTATATTTTTCCTGTATAGTATTTTTTAGAGTAGACCCAGACTAAAAGTATTTTTTGTTTACATTTTTACTGTAAAAAGTAAACAATATGAATTTCTGTAAAATCAAAGTTTTACAAAGTTTACTTTGATTTTACAGAAATTCATATATCTTGGGTGAAGATGGGTCCAGATATTCTGCAAAGGCTTTTGCTGCTGTAAAGGGAAGCTTTCATTTTGTCGGTCCTTAAAAGAGTAGATGTGGGGTTGGGTAAAGTAGGAAAAATTTCACATCCTAAGCTGTCAAGAGTTACGTACCATGTAACTTGCGTTGGCAGCAGTTCTTGGTCATCTCAGTTACAATTACAATTTTTTTACCAGTAACTCAGCCTGACATAGAAGGGTTAAAGGCCCTAAACTGAACAGCTGCTGTTATTCTGAATTGAAGATAGGCTCTTTTTTTCCATGTAGTTTCTTCCAAGGAACGCATTCAGCCTAAGATTCAAAGAGAAAGGAACACTTAAATCCAATATGGTCCAGAATATGAGAGGACTATGTAAGCTTCCAGAGTCTGCATTGAGGAAACCTTTGTCCACTTTGTAGTTATTAAAATAAACCTTCAGCCTGTCATTTGGGGGGGGAGGGGTGGAGCCCAAATATTTTAAAGGGTTTTTGAGGAGCTTTTCCCAGTTTAAAAACAAAATGAGTATTTCGAAACACTGACTTGATAAGTTTCTTCTGGGGGCAACTCAGCAGTAACACTGTATTTGTTTAAAAATAAGCAGCTGTTTTGATATATCAAGGATTTTCTAGCTGCTTCCTTCCCTTAAGCAGTGATGCCTGAAGTATTTATCCATTGTTGACTTTAAGTGGCAATGACATTTCTGGCTAAAGGGCTGTTACCTTTTAGCCTTTCGTTCAAATTTGGAAGAATCTGAGGCATGTATCAGACTACCATGGCGCAATGGAATAACGTCAGTTGTCATAGTTGGCAGAGCAAACCAAAAGCAATTCTTACCTCTTATTTCCTTTTGCCCCCAAAAAAGGAAGGGGAAAAAAAAAAACAAAACCACAACTGAGTACTTTGAGGGCTCTGACATAAGCCACGTTGATTCCAATTATGTTGTTAGTACTTTAATTGGATGCGATTTCCTATTTTTCATAAGCAAAATCTTAGTTTTATTTGCATCATAACAGACAACTTGCCCCAGTTAAACAGTGCTTTCTTCAGTTATTACTAATTCATTGTAAACCATTCCTTGTTCTATGTGATAATACAGGTTTGTCAGAGTGCATTTTGAATATTGCAGTCTGTGTTCTTCAGCATCGTGCTTTAAATGCAGTTTGGAATAGCAAATCCAGTTCTCTGCTGTTAAAAATAGCCAGTTAGTGTGTTGTCTTTCAATCTTTGCATATGTTTTGAGTTCCTGTGGATGTGTGATGCTTCAGGTAACGATGAAGGAAAATAAAGCTGTGGGTCCCAGATAACGTATTGCAGAAAGGGAACAGACACCTGGTGCAGCTTTTTTGGGTCTGTCCTTGTGTCTGGGAAAAAAGGGTGGTTTCTGTTCTCCCACTAGATGGCCCTGTTTTCTGTCGAGCGCTGCTGAGGCGGTGTCAGAAAAGGTGCTCAGAGCTTTGTAGGGCAGTATGTCAAAGATTAAAAAGCCATCTCTGGCTTCCTGACTTGAGGGGCACTCAAGGGTAATTACTGAGAAGTTTTTAGAACGCTGTTAACTAGTGATGAATGGACTTCCAAAGTGAAGAGGGACTAGGAAGGGTGGTCTTCTCCAGCTAGATTTCCTGGCATGTTAGCTTTCCACAGAAATCCTCAGCCTTAGGAGGAAGCAACTCCTGGGATTTGACCTGATGTGGATATAAGTACCTGGCTACAGCTGCCTGTTTTCAAAGTGAATGATGCCAGTCCATTCATAGAATTTTTCTTTCACAGGACATGTCTTCCCAATGGGTGGGACACCTGTATAAAACCAAGAAATGTTTTTGCTCTAAAGATGCTGTTCAGCTTCTGGTTTTTGTCTTTAAAATTATAACTCCTATAAACTGACTATTTTCTTATTTTTAGGTAAAAGGACCATCAGTGACTAATCCAAATACAATGGTAGATTTGTTCACCCCTTGCTCTCCAGGTGATCCTGAAGCCATAGAAATGACATGGATGGAGGTTCCAGGCGATAAATTACTGGAGCCTCAAGTTTCCATGGTAGGTATTCTTTTGTAGCATTTCTTCCTTGCTTTGCAGAACTCCGAAAAGACTTTGAGGTAAAAGATTCATTTTCAAATGGTTATGCAAGGCAGTTGGATGAGTTGTTTGTTTTCAGAAATGCTGGACGTACCAGATAACATGTGAATTCCCAACATACAGCACTCCAGTACAGCATGTTTGTGAAAAAGCCAGCTCTCTATCCCTGATAAGCATTTTTTTCTTATTGTTCTTGTCTGCTGGCATGCAGCTGCTGTCCTTTCATCCATAGACAGCATCTGGCTCTTCAACTGTTTTTTCACTTGTCTTTTATTCATACAGAACCTTCAGAATCCCTGCCCCATTATATGCTTCCTTCCCATCACTCTGTAGCATTGATACTGGGAAATGGAAAATTATATTCAGTACAAACTGGGAAGTGAGTGCTGTAGGTAAATATTGCCCAGGAAATAAATGCATGCATAAACAATAAAATGTAAAAAAGATGGTGGATGTAATGGTAGTTTTGGTTAAATCTCATCACAGGTGATGCAGCTCTTTCAGCTGTTTTCTTTGTGCGTGTTAAAATACTTGCTTTGGTCTAGGGAATAAAATATATCATTTTAAGACAAATTGAAATTTTAGTTCACTGTTTAAAAAAAAAAAAAAATGCTGGACACTCATTCTGTGTTTTTCCCCAAGAAAAGAAGATTCTGAATTTAAGTACAATGTTTGAGGGAAGGAGTTGATATCAAATCTGTGCTGCTGTCAGTTCTTGTGTGCAAACAGTCCTGTAATGAATGAAAGAAATCAGTGTATTTCGTGGGAATCACAAACCTCTAAAACAGTAGGCACTGCTTTGTAAATATAACAGTCGTGATATTTCAGAAAAGAATTTTCTGTGCATATTTGCATACCGAGGAAGCACAAAAGGATGTATGCAGGTGTAGGCCTGCCCTAAAACTTCTGCCTGCATGGTCTAAGCGGATTTTTAATCAGTCTTTCCTGGAATTGAACATAACAATTCCTTGTGTGCTCCTCATGGTACCTGGGCTCTGATGCACTATAGTTGCATAGGCAGTTGTTTCAGTGTCCAAAATCAGTTCCTGTCCTTAAAAAGTTCAGTCGTTAATTCTTTCTGATGAGACAAATCTCAAGTCTAAAAATTAACTTTTGCGTTTACCCATAATCTTGTAGTAATATGAGGTGTTAGACATCTACTTTTTTTCAGTTGCCTGTGGCTAGGACTTGATCAGTTTTCTTGCCCCTTTTTATTCATAGGGTGTTTTAACTCCTGCTTTCAACTTCATAGACCTTCGATTTTTCTGAACTCCATTTTCTAGTATCTAAATATTTATCTAGGGAATCAACTGAATTGGAGAGACAGAAATTACCAGTCATGAACAGTAAAACTTTGCTAGAGATGAATCACAAACTACTGTACTATATTGTTGGACTATGAAGAGTACATGGGAACATCTGATTATTTTCCACTTTAAACTACTGTAGGTAAAGATGGGTTGAAAATAGTAACTGACAAAAAAAAAAAGGAAGTTCATTTCAGTAAAAAGAGGTGAATAAAACTTGAATGGATGAGTGGCTTAAACCTCAACCTGAGGTTGTGGTTTCGTTATTAGAAAACTCACTGACAGTTGTCTGTCTTCACAGGGTTAAAATGCTGCCTCTGTGCAGAACAAAATAAGTTTAGGCTTACTTAAAGTTTTGTGTAGATAGGAGCTCCTTTGGTCATCTTGTTTTAATGGGCTTTTTAATGCATATTTGTCTTAGCAACAATATTGTTAGGGGTGGTACTATACTTGTTTCTGAAAACACTTTGTTTTTTTTTCCCTCTGACAGGTCGATATGCTCAGGTCACTAGCTAGCACAAAACCAACAGTTAATGAACAGGACCTGGAGAAGTTGAAGAAGTTTACAGAAGACTTTGGTCAGGAAGGCTAAACCAAAGATACACGTGGAGCATTAGAACTTTTTTTGCTTAAGTATTCTTGTGTCTTTATGGATGGCACTTCAAATAAATGCCAATAAAATCACTCCTTTCTTACTTTGCAGAAGGAATAGAAGATACCTTTGCAAAGACCCTTAAGCTTTTGTATTGTATTGTTTTCCTCAGATGTCTATTAAATGTCTTCTATTGAAAAATAATATGAAAATACAATTTTAGGGTGAGACAGCAAAGTGATGTGGTAAAGTCTATTAAATACTAGAATACTTTAAATGATTAGTTCAATTTTAGGTTTTATATTAGACCTGGGTACAAGTGAGTTTTAAACTCCCAGTAGGCTCAAAAAAACCCTTTTTTGAGGGGTGGAAGAAAACATGTTTGTTGGGTGTTTTCAGTTTCAGTCAATCAGCCTACATACTAATTGCTCTCATTTCATTTAGAAAAATGCAACAAAATTTGCTAATCAAGCATACTGCAAGTGTGGATTTGCTATGAAAGAAAGAAAGAAAACACTGTGAGTATAAGACTACATGGGCCAGTACTTTGTTTAAATACTGGTGGAACTGGTATTTGGCTTTGTCTGCTATGCTGTGTTAAAATTTTGCCTTAAACAGCAAGCTTTTGTTTTTAACTCTACTAGCTGATACACATGTGTCACTATGCAATTTAGCAAAAGTTTGTTAAATGCAGGTATCTCGAAAGGTTTTTTGCTGGCTGTTTTTTTTTTTTTTTTTTTTTTTTTAATTTGGATTTACTTTCTGCAGGAGTTTGACTAAAGTTAGAAAAAAAGCATCAGTAATATCCTGTAAGATTCCACATGTCAAGGCTGGCAAGATATAGGTAGTCTTTGGAGAATGTATGGGAGGTACTTTGGGAAATAGCGTACTTTCACACTCAAGGAGAGTATAACAGATGTTTTAGCCACAGACTTTCCAGTGATAAATTAACTCGGAACCCTCCTGATAACTGTTGCATATAGGTTACATCAATTTCGTGCTTAAACTTTGAGAGAAGGCTGGCACTTTAGTACAGAAGTAGCACTTCCATTGATCTTTTTCTGAAGAACTACGAATTGAGATGTGCCTGAATGTAACGTACAACACTACAGTGTCAGCATTGAGTTTGTGCCTTGTAAGTTTGCACTGGCTGTAGATACGAACCATCATTAGGATACCTAGAATACTCTATGTTCCATTATCATTGTGCAACTCTATCCTGCATATGCTTTGTTTAACTTGCATTAAAAGAAATTTGCACATTTCGTGTGTATATGTTATATGTACATATACACATACATGATCATCTTTTGATGGGGTTTGGTTTCCTTTGTGTACATATTTTGTGTACTTTATAAATCATAGGATGGGTGAAATTCTCTGTACTTAAATGAAGTAAAACGTCATAGTACAACATCAGCTATGTTCTCTGAGTATTTCTTCAATGTTCAAGAATTTACTGCTTGACTTTTTTTAGACTTTGGTTTCTATCTTTAACAGCTAAACAAAATATTTAGTTAAAAATTCTTTGATCTGCAAGGTGCTGAGATTTTGTTTACTAACATGACAAAACATTCTTTCCAAAATCGTATAGTTACACACAGCTTTACCTTTGTCTTACGTTGGAACATATAAATGTGAATCAGTGGACTGCAAATCTTTTTGTGGACCTTTAGGGCGGGGGGGCAGGAATTCCAGTGTAGGTGCAAGCAACTATGGTTAGTAAACTTAATCCTAGTTGCAACAGGATTGCTTTTTCTTAGTTGCCTCTTGTGAACTGTTTAGAAGTGAGCCACATACTGGCAAGGCTCTCACTCGGAGGTTTGAAGCTACTATCCGAAGTACTTGTCTCTTGACCTTTTTTAAAATGAGGGTCCTTACTGCAATCTTAAAATTCTCAGGAACTTCTCTTTTTTTTTTTTTTTTGTGGTAGGCTGGTATGTCCTATGGGTTTCCATAAGATTAACTGTGTAATCTTTTATCTTTAACGTAGAAGAAGGGTATACTGTATGTTTTAAATTTACATCTTGCTGCTTGCTCAGTTGTGGGATGACATCTGTAACAGAAGCATTAATGTTTGATGTTTGAAGTTGTTTTTAGAAATATATTCCAAATAAACATTGCTGCTTAGAACTGCAGCTACAAGGACAACTTTTTGGTTTACTGTCTTTGTAAAATGGGAATAAGTTAATATATATCACAGAGCCTTCTAGCTGAGTTATCCCAGAATAGATGATAGCCAAACGGGGGGTGGGGGGGAGGGAGGGCAGCTGCAAAATCCCCTTTATTTTCCAATGTTAATAGAAAATACTCTAAATTAAGAATTCATGAAAGGTTACATTTCCTTTACATAATCAAAACCTCTGTAAACACTGGATAAATTAGTTGTACATTTTTCATAAGGTCTGATGTATGACTCATCTTTGGCTAGTTAGCTTACACATTTTTTTTTCCCAGACTTCTGGTGTTACTGCTTACTGGCTGCAATATGAAAAAATGTCATTTTCCTTCCTGTGGGTAAAATAGTTTTTCAGTTAAATCAGTTGTATATGTGCTGCTTGTGTTTTTCACAGATGGTTTCTTCACATTGACATTAAACTTTGGATTTCCTGTCACTTGTGGTATACATCTCAATGCATATACTTGTAGGGTTAGAAAAGCTCAGTAAATCAACTTGTTGTATTTTTCCCATGCTGCCTGACTGACCTCAAATTCCAGAGTCTTTTTTTCTTCCCTGATTGGCCCGTGGGCTTTGTTTTGTCATTCTCTAGCACAAAGAAAATGTACAAACCTCCTTTAAGTTTTTTGTTTGATTGGTTTTGGTTTTCAAATTATCTGCTGGTCTTCAAATATGCTTTTGTTTTAGTTAGTGGAGCGGAACACATGTAGCTGAGGCAGATACTCTGGAATCAGCTTTTGTTTGTGTTCCTGTCTGTCAGGGTGTCCGATCATAGTTTGCCCTTTTTGTCAACTGAAGCAAAAAAGCTGCTGAATGTTCTCTGGTCAGACATTTTAATCTACTGTTTGTGTTTGTTTAGTTTTCTTCCTAATAATATATTCTGATACTTTTTGTGTTATTTCTGAGGATTATCCTGACAGGAAGCTTTCTAACAGTTCCGAATTTGTTGAAATGTGCAGGAACATCTTTATTTTGCTGCTTGCTCTTTCCGTCCTCCAGAATGACAGGCTTGTTTCATGATTGGCTTCCATACATGTTTTTGGTCATAACCAGATTCATCCTAGTAATCATGGTTGACTTAAAGCCATTCCCGTAACTTATGTGAACTATTGCAAGAACTTGGTGGACTGTTTCCTACTGTGCTGCTTTTCCAACAGATACTTAATTCTTATCAAAACATTGTTCCTTTTATTCTTGAGCAGGTAGTTTTTGTGGTAGCTCTTGTGGCATAGCTCCAGTGCTTCCCCCTTCGATTTTTCTTTAGCTTTTTATTAACAATATTTTAATCCAGTGATTTTATTCCACAAATCCTCAGTCATCATAATTAGCTGTGTAAAAACTTAATTGTTCGTTCATCCTCTGTCCTGGCTTTTGCGTACTGACAGCCCAGGTATTAGATAAGCTTGTCCTGTTATTTGTCTTTTGGTCCTTGTGACCTAATTACAATTCTTTCTCTCCCTCCCTACCTCTATATAAACACACGCCCTTCCGATAGTAGCTTTTTGACTAGGTCACTGTTTTGTGCCATTTTCTGTTTACTCACCTTTGCATCCTTTATCCTACCTAAGAGGCTCCAACTTGATGAATGAACTCAACTCAAGGATACTCCTTCCCTTCATCACATCCTTCCCTTCATCACATCGACTCGGTGTTTCAGGACGCCAGAGTCCATCTGTCCGTACCATCTGTGCACGCTACCTGCCGTGTACAATCTGCTAGCCTTTTGCAGAAATACTTGACATTTTAGGGCTCACTTAGTTGGACTTCTCAACCACTAGACATGACAACAAAATACCATGTCCTATCTGCATCGTAGCAGGAGCTAAGTTCTCTTCTAAACAGGCTTTGGTTGTGTTTTGAGACTTCTCCAGGAAATAAGTCACCGACACCCGAGTGCAGCCTGATGCTGATAATGGAGCCAGGGTTTTCTTTCCGGCTTGGTGACCCATTACCAGGCACCGTGCCACAAATTGGCAAGACTTGCTTTTGCTTGCCCTCCCTCCTCTTCTGCTGCCTCAGCTAATTTAAATCTAAGCTATTCAAGGCAGGGACTTAGCTTTCAAACATGCTCAGTGTCACATGCGTTCTGTAAACTATAAACAATAATTTCCTCTGACTCACTCTGTTGTCGGCTGATGACAGTCCACCAGTAATTTGTTAGAAAAATCTCAGCTGGAGTAGGTGCCTTCTACTACTGCTCCGTCAACGTCTTGGCAGTAACGAGTCAGCTAGGTGAGGGACTGAGAAAGTTGCTATAAATATCACCATCTTGTACAGGAAATGCAGTGGCAAATGAGGACTGTTACTCAGAGCTGTGACTTGGGCTCTGGAAGAGTCAAGTGACTTCTTCGCCCAATAGAAAGCTAGGAAAAAATGAAAATTCAAACTATACGAATTCAAATGATCATTTCTCATTCCTCCCATCCTTGAAGGCTGGAGCACAGGCTGTAGCTGGGAGGCTCTGACCTGTCAAGGCCTTAATTTTAGGTAAGAATTTAGAAAATCTGGAAAAGTAGCTGACTACTGTTTTCAAATGTGCCATTTAAAATGCCAGTTGAAATGCTCATGCTCTTGCCTGGCTGAGCCTGAGCTCACTTAGAATTTTAATGATGTTTTAATGAATTAATCACAGCTATGAATTGCTCTGTACACAACCAAACAGCAAAGCAATTACTGCTTTTTTTAATCTTTACACCTGCTCTTGTTTTGATGTGGTCTTGCATGTTCATATCCACCCTTGCTCTGTCTCTATAATTTAAAAATGTTTTCTTTTTTAGTTTGTTTTTACCTGCCTGAAAACCTCATGCCCATAATGCACGTGTCCGCTGTCAGTATGGAAACAAGCAGGCGGTTTGCCTGCCTGACAGCAAACCTTGTGCAGTTGCAGCACAGCAATAGTTTCCGCGGGAGCCACAGGGCCTAAAATCTTCTCTGTCCTACATCTTCACTGTTCCTCCACCAGCTTCAGGACAGAAGGGACGCCCGTATCAATCGATAGTGTCATTGCCTAAATGCACGCAGAGGGCTGCTACGCAGGCAGAGCCACGTATGCGAACACGAGTTACAAACACCTCAAAAAGGTGCGTGTACCCGTGTGATGACCCACCAAATGCACAGCGGGTAGTCACTGCAAGTTACCTTCATCCAGTACTTGTAGGACTGCGAGGTGCCTGCTCGTTTCAGGTTTAGATGGGCTCAG